TATATATATATATATATATTCATTTTTATCAAATTTGATTTTATCATAATTGGACGGGATGGGTTCTTCTATGTTAATTTGCATTATCATACCGATTTGTTCGTCTTCATGCACATCAACATGTATGCTTGGTTTTTCGTAGTTCGGCGATATGAGACTGTCTAGTGATAATGGTTTGTTGACATTATCTGCGAGTTGAACGGATGTTGTCGGCGCATGGAACGTTGATGAAGTCTTCGTATTATATTGTATATCCCTGATGTCTTGACCAAATCCAGGATTTATTAGTACTTGCCCCTCAATGTAAGCAATTTCGCCTCTCAAGACCACTCTATGCACGGAACCGCGAACTCTCATGCCAGTGAAAGGTGTCCACTTCGATTTGCTGTACGCCATTGCTTCCGGAATAATCCATTCATCATCCATATCGATCTCGATGTATGTGTTACGTTGATCAGGGATATTGAAGATCCTTTTGGGGTTTCGATACAATTTGTCTATAATATCCTACAATTAATAATTATCATTGATTAACAGTTTTGTTTAGGTTTTTATCACATTTAATAATATGTAACATATATAACTTTATTAATAAAATATAAATGTATATACTATATTATACTTTTTTATCATAAAATAATTAACGTCTTTACATGCATATGTAGATATTATGCATTTAACAATAAGCAGGAATGGTATTGCTTTAGTAAGATTTACTTTGCAATTAGAATTATCTAGCATTTCTTAAAAATGATCGACAAAAAAGCACTTTATTTATTTTTGTTATTGATATTACGAGTGGATCTTCATGTGATACTCGAAGACTTATCTCGAAAACTTATTATCAGAAAATAGCATTTATATGTAATGGAAGAAGCGATAAGCATAAACATAAGATCGCGTTTAACAAAAACTTTGAAAATTTCAAAATTCCTTTTCAAGAATAATATGCTTCCCAATTACTTTGCAGAGTTTTCAATTTATTATTGAACAAACAGATTATCTCTGTAACAACAATTATTAAAATACATATACATATATATATATATATAATTATTATTAGTATATACATATAATTTATATTTTCGCAAAAATTAGATGAAAAGTTTTAATAAGTTTCTTTTAATATTGTTTTATTACGGTACATTAAATACAAAATGTATCTGAGAATTGGGATGGCATATATAATATAATGTTTGCATTCTCGAGAGTAATTTTCGCGTTATCATGCAAAGTACTTATCGGCATTCCGTACTCATTACGTCAGCTAGACATCATTGAAAGTTATAATTCAAACAAAATGTACCTCTATGGTCAGCCTTCCTTCATGCACAGCGGTCAGTAAGAGCGGTAACATAGTTTCCAAGCCAGGAAATCCTGGCGGTGGTTTCTCGGATGACTTCTCTTGCACAGTATGTGGAGCTTTACAGAGAAAATCAATGTCTCATTAAAAACGTGCGAATTATATAAGATAAGCATTCAATCGCGTGATTTCGCGCGTTAGAACTTATTCTTTAATATTCTTGAATAAAAACAGGCAATAATCTTGCGAATTATCAAATTATTTTTATCTGAACACCTAATTGCTTATTATTTCTAAACAATAAGTGCAAATGTCTGATATAATATCAAAGCTTTTTGGACAAAAAGAATACTCTTGTATAATTTAAAAGCAAAGCAAAGTAGCTGTTATATAAACATGAGATGTCCATCCTTTTATCTCCAAATCATAGAATGCTGGTCGTTATCATTTTGAGATATTGAATTACATTTATTCTGCTATGTGACTGCAGCGCGAATTTTGTGACAATTATAACTTGTAATTTAATTACAGCTACAATTAAAAACATTAAAGTATAGCAATAAGTTTATTGACAGACCGTGGTCAGTTGCAAAACAATCGATAATATCTATATTATCCCAGAGAGACTGTTGATCCTCCTTTGTTCCCAAAGAAGGTCTTACTTGACCTCTTCCATAGCCTATTCGTTCCAAATCATCCTGGCAAAGAAATAAATAGTGCGGACATACTTCGCACGTAACTGCCAATCCCTATAAAAAATATTATATAGTCTAGGGTTGGCAATAACACGTTACTTGTAACGTCGTTACTTTGTTGATCGTTGCCTTGTTATAATAACGATTTGATAATAACATTATACATTTTTTATGACGATAATAGTAACATCAGAGTTAGAAAAATCAATCGTTACTTGTGACGGAAAAAAGTCATTTGTTATTGAAAAAAATAACTTCTTTTTCCATTAATTTGTAACGCGTTATTTTTTTACGCGCGTTACTCGTTATTTATTACTTTTTTTAGTAAGTAACGTATAATGATGACAAATTTCTTTTCAAAGTGACTTTTCTAATCTTAGCATAACCTTTCCGTTTAGTTAATTACTGTCATAAAAAATTGCAACATCGTCATTAAATTATTTACTATAGAAAATAATGACAAAGTAACTGAAAATTAACGTTTACCAACTCTAATAGATATATAAGAAAATACAATTAATGTCGATATTTTTTAGATATATTTCAATTTAAATATTTAATAAGAGCATTTTATAACTTAAATTATATTTGCACCCTTAATTATTATAAATTTTTAATTATTAAAATTTAATTTTTTATACTCTATTACTACTGGGTTACGTAAATCTTATACATACAAATTTTGGTTTTGTGATAGACATCTTTTTTATTGATATGTATTGTTAGGATATTTACATGTTCTTTAGCAGCTCGAATGATTTGTATTTCCTCTTTTCGTGCTACGTGACACACATGAATTGGTCTGCTGTGCAAACTCGCTAGTAAAAGGACCGCAGCTGTGGTTTGTCCTTCCGCATGCACGCACAAAGGATACTTTTTCGGCCAACTTTCGAAGTGCTAGAAAAAAGAAGTAGCCGTAGATGTATATCACATAATTGGAAATATAAATATTATGTTAATTATTTTTATTTTGATTTAATTATTATTATTTTACAGCAATTAAAACTGTTTTAAAATAATTTTCTTAATATGTATAACAGGCGCATATATTTAGAATCTTCTTTTCATCTTTTTTGTAAAACATATTTTTTAATAAATTATATACTTTTCATACATATACAAATTTATAAATAAGCTAGATTTGTTAAAAAATCTATTTTAGAGAATCTTTCAATATTTTTTACAACCATGCAAATCATTTACCTTAATCCAAACAGCAAGATCAGCGAGACAAAGAGTTGTAAACGTTTCGTTCAGGTACATTTTTAAAGCGGCCACGTGTGGTGCTATTTCACGTATATCGTTATAATTATCCGATGAGGCACCAGCAAAAAGTGCATAATCGCATCGTGAGTCAGCTACAGCTTGCTATTGAAGTAGACAGTAAATAATATTTTGTTATTAATTTTATTATAACAAATTATTTAAAATTATTCTTAAATATTTCTTAAACGTGATTAAAATTTATTTAGACTAAATTTAATCAATAATAAACAAAAAATAAAAACTGAGTGAAATTAATGGTTAATTTTGAAATATCTGTATAAGAAATCAATGTTTTATATACGTTGATAAGTAGATATTCGTGTGTGCCTTTTTAAACACAAAAAGAATTTGAAATTCATAACGATAAAACAAAATGTCGCTTTTTAAGCTATTGTTATCATACGGTATCACGTTGTTAAAACTTGGTTCGCTAGCTGCGATCGATTTTTGTAATTATGTGATAGAGCTTGATTTTTGATTATCATTTAGATATAGGAGGCTTAAAATTGCATTTTTGAGCAAATATTTTAATTTAATTTAACGAACATTTTACTAAACATGTTAGAAATCGAATTCTTATAATCATAATGAAACAAGATTGAGCTAGTTTATCAAAATTTTTGTTTATGCACTTATAAATTTAAAAGTATCCTGGAAAGTTTTTGGTATCAATTTTTTGAGACAAAAAATTAAATTTTAATTATATATGCAATCTTTAATATATTTATTACATATTAATTTAAATTATTTTAAATTTCAATTTAAATTTAATTTGATTATGATTTTGTTAATAATACAAATATGAATAAAGAATGCAAAATCAACAATTAACAATTAAATTAACTTTTGAGATTGAGAGAGAGAGAGAGAGAGAGAGAGAGAGAGAGAAAGAGAGAGAAACATAAGAAATTCTCTTACCGCTTTGACGATCGCGAAAGTCTTGTGATCTATTACCGGAGGATTGGTATTCGGCATTGCAAAAATGATTGTTATGCCTCCGGCCAGCGCTGCTGCAGTGCAAGAGGCAAAGTCTTCTTTGTGAGTCGCTCCAGGATCACGGGTATGCACGTGTACATCGATAAGGCCAGGTAATCTGATCATTTTTCGCGATGACATGCAATCAGTATGCGTTTTCATACGCGGTGCTTTCCCGCCAACCATTCTTAATGCCTATATATAGAAAAAAACGAATCAATTACAGTTTACACTCCAATATCCAATAAATTTATTTTTTTTTTCCAGATCACGAACAGGACAAAGTAAATTTTTGCTGAAAATGAATACGTAAATAAAACTGCTCTAGTATGTTTTTGAGAAAATCGAAATTAAAAATAAAAAAAATGATATTTTTTGGTACTTTTAAGCTAAATCTCAAAAACGTAATGTGATAGAGTAATTTTATTTGTCACGTTTTCGAGATACTTTAGCTGAAAAAGTTTAATTTTTTCAAACAGATGTACTTACATGTAATTATTTAGAAAAATGTAATTTAATCAACAAAAATAAAATTAAAATTAAAAAATTAATAGAACTATTACTTGAATTATTTAAACTTTTTATATAGTTTTTAATAGAAAATTTTGTTTCCTTCATAAAAGACTATGCTCAGACTTTGGGCTCCGACTGAACAGCATTAAGACCTAGCTAAGATTGTAGAGCATAAAAAAAGGATTAAAAAGTTCCATGCACAACTTTTTAAAATGAGTCTCTTGAGTGCTACAGCTGTTCAAAGTTCGCTATTATGACCATGTATTGTGTACCATGTAGGATTGGTTTTATTCTATTTCTCGAATCATCTAGTATCTGGAATATATTCAATCTTGACAAAGACAACTAAAGCTTTTTTTCCTCAAATGAATAGTTATGAGTAATATATTAGTCGATAAAGAGGAGAGAGAGACATTCAAAGTATGAAACAGAAGATTTTAATTGCCTAATTGAAATGTAGCCAATATATCTTATCTTTTTTTAGCTTCCTCATTGGAACTCTCTGAAAGTAAAAAAACATCATTAACTAATTCTTGTTGGCATATGGATACCTTCGACAAAGTGTTGGGCATATCCCAGATATCATATAACTGTCAACCGAATGAACTATACCAAATATATTTTAGATATTACTTTAATCATTAGTCTTTGGTACAATGCGTTACCGCCGTCACTAGCACCGCGGGGAGGTGCCCTGGACGCAGAGAGATTAGATAAAACTACAGTGGTACATGGTCATAATAGCGAATTTTGGATAGTTCTAGTACTCGGGAAACCTCTTCTATAAAGTTGGACTTATGGAATTTTTAATTCTCTTTTGATACCTTAAAATTTTAGGCATGTCTTAAAGTTGTTCATCCGGCGCCCAAATTTCCCTATAAAACTGGGCATAGTCCTTTATATTGTCGTTAATTTTAATTATATGTAAATATTAATAATTTCTATTATTGTGAAAATAGATATTATTTTTTGTCTTTCAAGAAAATTAAAATTTTCAATATTGTCTTAAAATACATAAGTCCTGGCGTGAACTTTGTAATATGGCTTATCAACAATGTGAACAAAATTTTATGAGTAAGAGTGAGTAATATTATAATCTTGTTTATCAAAAACAATCTTTGATCATTGATGTGGAAGTGATATAAAATGTAGTTTTAAATTAGAAAGTAAAGTCACGTAAGCTTTATTCTAACCATTTAATTAAATTATTTCTTTAAATAAAATTTATTAGATTCTTTTATGACATACATATCATGTTTTTTATAAGACTCTACTTTTGTAGAGTCAAAAATCTGAATACTCACTTCAACCAGCAGCTTCGCGCATTTAACGTCTGTAATCAAAGGTACAGAATAATCAGCTGCTAGTCTTCTCGTCCGATAACCATGCGTCATAAAATTTGAAACACGCCGGGCTCCGCCGTTTCTCATCGGTAGATTAATCACGAGATCGAATTGCTTTTTCGACAAGAAATCGGCGAGATGCCGAAGTTGACTCGGGCTGGAATCCTCGTTCACGGCGATGTTCTCGAATGTCCATTGCACCGGTTCTACCTGCATTACAAAAATTTGTTACGTAACATGAAGTTACAACAATTATCTACAATTATAAATGTTCAAAATTTATAATGGAAGCAAGAGATATCTAAGGAAAAGACACATTAACTGAAGTACAAATTTACGCAAAATGCAAATGAAAATAATAACAATAATATATATTAAAAAGATCCTAAAATAAAGCATTTAATAATTCTGAAATATCTTAAATTTGAATTAGCTTAATTTATAAAATTATAAAATTCTTATACGATTAAAGTACGCATAAAAACAGCTACTGCAAATATCATCTTCGTATAAAAAACAAAAAGAAATTAAAAATATCAGTTACGTTTAGCACATACATTTGTTATCTGACGACAATATTTGCTTAATGTAAAAATTCTATAGTTTAATTATTTTTACAAAATGAGATGTGGTCTTGGCATAGAGATCACATGCACGGAAAATATCGTGCTTTAAAACTCTAATTGTAAGATTAAAAGTCTAGAAAGAAGGTTGTTTAGAATTACGCTTTATAAATGCGAATAGAAATAAAGAGTAGTAAAGAATAATATTGCATGCAGCAATAAGTGCAGTCTATTTTATTATAATAGTAGAACTGAAGATTATATGAGCAAAATAAAAATTTAACATTATTCTAGACTCTTGTACAAATTTTGCATTAGATTTTTTTATGACATACATAGACATAATTATACATAAAATATTTACATTAACATTTTTATATATATAGTTCAAGAATATGGAATGATATTCATGCTGTCATCCTATTTTTTCATACTAACAGTTCGAAATTGTGTAAATATATTTGGATATCTCATAAAAAAATTTAAATAATTTTCGATAATATTGATTTCCACTGTACGCTGCTATCGTTGAAGTAGATATCGATCGGTGGAGATTACGTTCATTGGTTTATCGTAATATTTTAAACGACCTAGAAACGATCGATATCTTTTCTCATCTCTCAGAAAAACAAATGTGCTGCCTGTTTTTAGGGCAATCGCGCGCGCGAATATATTCGTCAAGGAACAATACTGATCTTTAACCACGCATCACAATACGCCGTCACAATCTACAATTTCTCAAATTGTCTCTGTTTCATGCACAGATTAGATAAGCGGAAGTTTTTATTCACGATGTTGCCGTCATTTATTCACATTATATGACGTCAGTAGACGAATCGAACGTTACCATGCGCAATATTGTGTGATCTTATATGAAGCGATATCACAAAATTCGATTTCAAGAGAAGACTACGGACAGAGTCATCGTGGATCTGTATACGATAATTTGTGAGAATTATCTTAGCAATAACTTTATTATGATAATATTAATAAGAAGCTTCTTTTATCTAACTATTGCGACAGCTATGATTGCAATGTTTTCTGCAATCTCTTGCACGCACATATATTGAGTAATAGTACAAGAAAAATTGATTACAATCGGAGAGAGATTACATCAAGTAATATACGATGTTACCATAACTTTAATCATTATATCAATAACTTCCTTTTTCGTAGTAATTGCTGCAGCTTACTGTTTGCAATGTACAAGACTGGCACATATTTTAGTCTTTTTATTAATATTTTGCATTTAATTATACTTGTCATTAATTACAGACTAAATATTAAAAATGAAACTTTATTTATTTAATTAAAACATAAGGTTTATTTTAATAGGTTAGTAGGTATTATTGATAAAACGCAGCATTACTGATAAAAGTTACTTGTTTAAACAAGGATTAGAAGCGATAACTAGATCTAGGAAGTAACATTAGAAAAAGAGAAAACATTGAAAGGAAACGTAGAAAAAATAATAAAGATTGTTCTAAATATAGTGCTTCAATGGCTGACATTTGTATCTATAATTATATATGATCCATCCTATGATAAGCGATATGAAACTGAATATTGGCGAATTGGATAGAATACCGAAGCTTTATCTTGCCCAATGCCAGCGCAATCTTCATAAGTATTTTACATCGGGCTTGTTTGTCGATGCCCAATAGTAAACGGGCGATTAAAAGCGCCCGTGCTCGATAACGTGATAGCTATTTATCGATTCTGATAGCCCGCGAGAGGACTACTGCCTCATCAGTCATCGACGTGTCCTCACGCGCGTACGCACAATGCTGCGTTCCCATTTTCGCTGACCTTGAAACTAGGATGAAGGAATGTGTCGGTGACCTATAGTAAACCGCGAAGTAGCCTGTTGTAGTGTACCGCGACTGATCCTGAGGACGCGCGCCCTACGTGGGGACACTCCACGTGGCCGTCTCTCCCTCGTGTGTGTACACTTTGTTATGTCATTATGCGAAAAAGGACAATGGGAATCGTGCAATCATTGATTGATTCCTTTAATCATAAGTCTGATTCCCAGTTGGGAAATACAAATAACAACGGACCCAAACCAAAGAGCGCAGCCAAGGTGGAGGAATATGAGGATGTGGAATTGATACAAATGAAGATGGCCATCACGAATGATCCTAACAGTTTCATTCTAAACAATCTCATGATGTGTATCCAGTTCTTCGAGAATTACGAGGAGTAAGCACTCCCGTTCCAATGCTTTTTCACGATGATTCATTGCAGTTGAGGAAAATAATAATTACTATTGAGTGTAAATTTGGAAAAGAAATTTGGAAAATGGGATAATAGTATTCAACTCCTGTTAGTATATTAACAAATGATCCCGATAATAAATTTTATTCGACGTGGTGAAGTTTAGTGTCAATAAATATAAATATTTGCACATTCAAGTTACTATTAATAACACATTAGAAGAACCGTATCATGTGTATATGTATCATCCATATCATATCCAGAAATTTACTGGGAAATTGGGAATTATTTCGCTGATTACATACTGACTTAAGAAGTATCAATACCATTCGTCTTGATTTAATCTAATCTATAAATTCTCAGCACATATAAAAAATATTCCTCGGCGCTATTAAGAAGAAGTGTACTCATGAATTCTTTACATTACTTTTGCTTTTCAATTTGCAATATAATAAATCTCTTCGGCATTATGTACACAATTAGGCGCGCTTCTACAACATAAGAAATCATCTTCTTATTTGCACAGTAAAGATAAAGTAATATTGCAATATAGATCTTTGTTGCAAATAAAAAGATATTTTTTCTTATAATGGAAACGCGTATGATGGAAAAGCGTTGTGACTAACATGAGATTTATTATGTGACAAATTAAAAAGCAAAAATGCAAAGAATTAAGAGTACACATTATTTTGTAATTAACATTATATTAAAAAAATTATTTTAAATGAATATTGAATGAATTTATTAGAGAAGTGCTAGTTCATATTATATTTAATTAAATATTAGAGGAAAGCCCGCTATTATATATATGAGATAGGTGCCTAATATGAGATAACGGCGTATTCGCTAAACTAATAACCGCTATTTATTGATTTCACCATGAATTTATTGCTCTTGGATTGAAAACTATTTAATGGAAAATTCATTATTAAATCATGCCTGTAGTCGTTGCAAAAAAAGATTTTAGAATTTAGATGTCTTGAAATTTCATTGAGATAAACTTTTAAACTTTGTTTATTATTTAATAAGTAAATATTTGGCAGTAAATTCTTCATGTGGTGATAGAGTAAGATCGTATTAATAAAAAAATACGTGATATGTTGAATTGCTTAATTACAGAAGTTAGATTTGATGATCGTAAAATCGTAATATGAGATACCAGAGTACTTCTAATACGAAATAACTTATGTTTCTATGTTATAGTGAAAATCGTTGCTAAAGTATAAAAGTTATTGTACAATAATAAAAAGGACAATCGGAATAAACATTAAGTGCTTGTTTCTGCGATACTTGGTTCCAATCTATCTGAAGACGAATCAGCTAGGTGCATCGCATACTCATTTTGTACGACTGTTTATTTGTATTTTAGAAACATTAAATAAAATTTTTTAATTGCAATACTGATGTACTTTGTATTTTATTATCGATTTCTCGGGACATCTCATATTAGGAGTACAATTTTTTGACTTTGCGATTTCCTCACTTTTTAATTTCTTTAATTTATAAAAAGAATTAAATTTTAATTAAATTTTACATAACATTGTCTTAAAGCTTATTAAATACCCTTCAAAATGACCTATTATTTTTTTATGCTTATAGATTTCTAGCATTTATCCAAAATGAACTCGGTATCTCATAATAGGGGTCTTTTCTCTCTATACATAATATTTATATTTTTATTATTTTTCATATTCTAATATCAATAATTATTTTTTAAGTCTTTTTTAAATATACTTATTTTTATTTTTATATGTTTATATTTTAATTAATTAAAGTAAAACAATTAATGTAAAGAATATATAGAGTGTAGAGGAAAGTTTTAATAAATCATATATACTATATAAATGTAGTTAGACATAATAATGATAAATGTCAGAAAACTAATTATCGGAAAACTGCTTTTACAGAGATATAATTCAAATTAAAGAGACTTTGGTACCAACTTACGAAAGCGAATTAAATAAAGTGCTCCCATCTCAAAAGCACGTTCTACTGCCGGACATTCTTCAGGAGCATATCTCCCATAACATTGCTTTTACATCAAAAAGACAAACCGGTGATCTCATTATCGAATCGCTGCATCCCATCCGCATTTATATTGTGCATGATAATATTGAAATTACAGAGCGACATTACTTATCAGAGTATAGTAGCCTAAATAATGGGATTACGTACAACATGATGGTGCAGCCAAGTGAAAATCCCGGTAAGTAAATTTGCTTTGACTTATAAATATCCCAGATTGTCTTTGTTTCTTTTCGCAATGTGTTCCTAACTCAATTTGAAATAGATTTGTTTTTAAAAAAATGTAATTAATCAATAGTTTCTAAATTGTAGAAAGATTCTGTTTAAAACTAAAAAATCTTACGAAGAAAGTTTTAAATAGAAAATAAAAAAAGCTTTATTCCACAATTCAATTCGGAGACAAATTTAAAGGCTTTAAATTCAAATTATGTTTCTAATAAGTATATTAATTTTAACGATTTATTTTTCAAATTATCATTGAGTTTAAAAATTTGCTATTGACTATTTTGATAAAATTTAGAACTTAATAAGAATTAAAACTTTTGTCCAAATATACAATGACGACGGCGAAAGCATTTATGGCCGTAATTCGACATATTGGCTGCGTTCAGCAGACTCAACAGTTGAGTGAGCGCTTGCTGCTATTGATGTAAATTCTTCTAGATCTAAAATTTTGATTGGATGATCTAAAAAAAGAATACACCAATAACAGCGAATGTTCACTCAACTATTGAATTGGTTGAATGCGCCCAATACTTCCGCATTATATAAAAAAAAAGAAGTCCCAAGACTCTTCAATTTTTAAAAAATATTTAATACAATCTTTTTTAGTAAATTTCAATAGTTAAATAACATTTTTTTAATAAGAAAGATTTTTAATAGATTTAATAAAGCATTTGACTAAAATAATAAATATTCTGTCGATAGGATATGTGCGATTGCGACGTCTCGATGAAACACCGTATGCGAGTAACTCCTGCAAGGAAGAAGACATCGATCCTTCTTTAACAGTGGATGACGACGAAATATATGATGGTGACGGCGAGAGCGTTTATGGTCGTAATTCGAACATGATACATCACACCAGAGTCACACCGCATCACTCTAGAAAGAGAGGTCTCCAAACTTCTTCACTTTTCAATGTCAAATCTTTGCCCAATCTTCATGACAAGATAATATACGAGGATCAAGTATCCCTTTCCGTGAAAAGTATTTACGAAACCCGACCCAGTCGTAATTTCAAAACTGAGTCTGATTTCGAGCATAGATCTTCGACAGAGAATCGAAGGAGTCATGGTCAGAAAACATGGTTGAAAAATGAACTGGAGGCCAGGAAAGAAAGTTACCAACGTTATTCTCAATCCGGCGTGGCGAAAGAGAAAGTTTGCAGGCCAGCAAGTATCACGAGTTCCGGCTACCGATCCGAAGCTTGCGACAGTGATAGCGACTGGAGTTACCAACTTCCGTCAAAATCCATCTTGCAAGTAACTCGTAATGTGAATCATAACAAGAATACCGCGGATGCATCGACGAAGATCTACTCGGATGCGATGATTCCGACGCAATGTTTCAAAAAGATGAGGATCAGCAACGATGGCAAGATTTACATGTTACAACGAGAGAGGAAGCCGCAGAATTGCAAGCAATTTCGCCTTATGTTGGCCGACAGACAATACGACTCCTATGTCTTCTATACCAGCAGTAAAGTGTTCATGAGCTACTTCGTCGATCTCTTCGTGGATCATTTAGCGGAGCCGCTGGGTTTCAAACGGGAAGATCTGAATCACGTAGAAGAGTCGATTATCTACTGTGACAAAGTGATCGACTCGCATAATTTGAGGCTGCGCAGACTCGAGTCCTACGAGATCTCACCAACGATATGGCTACAGTGGCCGGAATACGCACAGGAATGGCTGGATAGACCAAGGAGCACGTGGCCTGACTACAATGATATCAACAAAGTGAAAGACTTTGGTTGCTACGTAGTGCCCGAAGACTCTCTACCGAGAAAAAGAAATCTTTTGTCAAAAGAGTTGTCTTGGCAACAAAATGCCAACAATATTCATCAGGAAATCGAGTGGCAGTTGGCATTTCCAGCCGCGGAACGATATCTAGAGACCTGCATGACGCGCTCACAAGTGCAAGTGTATTTGATCGCGCTGATGCTCCATAAAACCTTCTTAAGACAAATTCAGGACTCGACAGCTGGCCTAACGACTTCTCACATTAGGAATAAGCTATTCTGGTTGATCGAAGAAAACGATCGACCTTTCAAATGGCCTGACAATCGGACTGGCGACTGTCTAATCAAGTTGTTAGATAGCCTTTATCGCTGCCTCAGCCAGAACGAACCAACTCTATTGGACTATTTCCTCCGTGATAAAAACATGTTTAACAAAGTGCCCGCCAATCTCCTGTTGCACAGCCAGAAGCAACTGAAGAGAATAATTGAGAATCCTGTCATGTATGTGTTCCATGCGATGGAGAACATCAAGTATAGTAACAAATTTTTTCCGCGATTAAACTTCACGAAGCTATTCAACATACTGACGGTAAAGCCGTGGTTGGCTATGAATCCAGCTCTGGATATGTATTTGTCGCCGGCAAAGAGCGACGAGTCATACAGAGATGAGATCTATAACAAATCCGGTGGATTTTGGAACAAGTCTCGAAAGAAGAATTTGCGTAACTACAGCGCGCCAATAGCTGCGCCAATAGCCGCGAGGAAAACACTAATCACTCCGCGCAAGGCCACTGATTGTATCGTCGAGATCTCGGTGAGTTCCTTAAGAGATAAGATTATCAATTGGGCGTTCATAATGAGCAATCCACCGCAACAAACTGATTGTGCCAGACAAAAAAAAAAGTGAAGTCCATCCATGATGCTACACAACTTGTGTCGGGAATCTAATCTTATCTCGGTTACCTCGAGATTAGCAGATCAAGAGTCATGGTTAACTCACATTCCTGTCTTGTTTTTTCTTTCTCTTTTCCAGGAACGATGTGCCAAATTAGAGGGTATAAGGCTGGCTGCTCTATTGGACTTCTTCGTCACGCACTTTGTTAAAATGGCCGAGTGCTGTCACAGGTATCGGGCTTATCAACAGAAGGAGGTTTATCTCGATCAAGCTGATCGATTGTCGATCATCCTATCGGAGATGACCAGGTACAAGGACGATGCTAAAGCTTATCGCAAGAAGATCTATGCTCTGAGGACGAAACCGATGATGAATTCAACGATAAGATCACAGAATGAGCCGCCGGAAACTCCTGAGAGGAATCAAAAACCTATATTCAGCAGCACCCTGAAGGATCGTTTTACGCGACAATTTGATGAAATTATGAAACTGCCAAAGGACGAGCAACCGCAATCTAGTCATCAAGATCACACCAATAAGATAACGAAAACGATTACCTCCGAAATAGGATTAACGAACGAGGGAAACGCGCAGGCGGATACTGCAATCGCGATTATGAACGAGGATGAAAGTCCTTACACTTCGAGAAAGCCTATATCGAAGGATCAGGGTGATGACTCAACTTCAAAAACGATAAAAGTAGTCTCTCTAGCGGACAATCTAAACGAAACGACGTTTATATGATACGTACGTTTAGGAATAGAGCGTGAATGATCTGTCGCAAAAAAAGATGCAAAATAGAAATACATCTTTGTATTCAATGCTCTTAGCAAATCCTCATACAACAGATTATTCCAGCAACATTACAATGTTCCAGCAATATTGGAGTAACGTGTTCAACAGATTCAACAGTTGAGTGAGTGTTTATTGTTATTTGTGTAATCTTTTAGATCTAAAGATCTAATTGGATAATCTAGCAGAATACATCAATAACAGTAAGAATTCAATTGTTGAGTCTGCTGAACGCGCTCGTTGTAAGAATGTTGCTGCAAGTTTTTGTATTATATGGGACAGAATGGTATTTATATTTTGAGATTGGTCGATAATTAATTTAGTAAGTAATCGAGGAAGACTGAGCGTGCTTATCGCATGCTTGCGAATTGTCGATATTCGATCATCGCGTTATGCAAGAGCGCACATATTTATGTATAGTAATTATTAGTAATTAACTCTCTCTCTCTCCGTCCGCAAATTGATCGTTTAACTCATATATTAAAATCTTTATTTAATAAAAATTGAAATTTGAAAAATGAAGGAAAAATTAAAATTTTAAAATGTATAATTTAATAGGAAGGAGATAGGACACTGCCTTCTTTTATTTCGGAGAAGTTTAAAAGTGAAATTTTACTTGTACCAAATAATATTCAGGTTGCAGGAGAGTTAAAATAATTTATGAAAATAGTTAATTCCGCTGAAGTCACACAATTTAACTTTTGTATCTCATATCATATATCATATGCATTTTTTTAAACATTTTATATGTTTGCCGACAAAATTTATATATCTAATGATTTCATTATTTTCATTATTTTATTATCATTAATATCATTATCCTTATATCTATTGTCAGTTTATTAAATCTCTTATTTGATCGCAAACAATATCTCTCACTGAAATATTCATATTCAAAATCATGCATTATATTTCACTAAATAACTCAAATTGTAATAATTTAAATTCTAAAAATTCAACAAATTTAATCGAGGTATGTACATTTCTCGTAAATACTTATTTTTCTAATCATTCTTAAATGTATGTTAAATATATAATTCTTTCCATATACATTATCCATATGAGTGATAAATATTATATCCAAAACAAAACAATATAAAACAATCAGTGAATAATTTTTTTGCTTACCTCGACACCATGCTCTGTATAAAAGTCGGCGGTACCCATGCTGGCATACAATTTGTATCCCATGTTTTTTAGATTTCTGATAGACCCTAGCAACTCCATTTTATGCTAAAAACAAATCAATTATTTTTATATCTTATATATACATTCTTTTTATTAAAACAATTTTAATTCTTTAAAGATTTTAGTTATTGCAATTTCCTTTTTTATCAATACTATTGATACAATTTTTTATCAATTTAATATTGAGAAATCAATATTATAAATATTATAAAAACTTTTAGTTTCCATCTCTAAAATGGTACTCTGCTTCTTATGAAGTATTATAATAGCGTGAGTATAGTAATTATCATTTATTTAAAGATATTTCTTTTACAATATAATTACCTTAAAACTTCCTACGGAGAGTAAAATACCTCTTTGGGGTATATGAAAACCAGTGCTCATCATGCCTTTTAGATAAGCTTCGTAACGATTCTCACCGAAACAAGCGACTTCTCCGGTAGACACCATTTCGACACCCAACGTTACATCAGCGCCTTTAATTAAGTCAATAGTAATATAATATCAATATTTAAATAATTTTTTTAAAACTATATAAATCAATTGTATAATACCTAATAATATTCTATTTAAAATTTAAACATTTCTTAAAACTTGAGTTTAAGCAATCTAAAGGAGATTAAAAGCAAAGTTAATTATAAAAAAAAAATAGGTTTGTCGTAAAAAAAATAATATAAAACAAAAAAATATTACAGAACTTGCATGTAGCATATATTTTTATTATTGAAGTATAAATAAATTTTCCGTAAATTTCCAGTAAACTGTAAATAAAATTAACGTTTGTACCTGCAAGGCGAGAAAAGGAAAACTGCGGTACTTTCAGTCCAACTTTTCCACAGCCAGCTAAAACATCCACAGGTTCAATCGTTTCGCCAATGATTAAACGAGTTGCCGTTGCAACGAAATCGTGATCTAAAGTTTTTGAGACGAAAGGGAAAGATCTGGATACTCGTACATTACACTCAATAACCTTCAGCTCGTTATCCTAAAATTAATTATTAATTTTTATTAAATATAAAATATAATAAAATCTATTTATTTGTATAATTAATATTTTTTATGTCTAGCTAAGCAATAAAAGTACAACTGTAGTAATGGTATATGTAAATATTAAAATGTTATATATAATCAAACTTAATTAATCAATTTTCGACTACATAAAAACAAAGCATATGACGTCTACCTTCGCAATGAGCTGCATGTTAAAAGGACCAGTGACTCCCAAAGATGCTGCTACTGCTCGAGAGATGTTTTTTATCTTCACCAGAGTTTGCGTATTGATGTCTTGTGGTGGCGTTACTAATGTAGCATCACCAGAGTGAACGCCAGCATTTTCCACATGTTCCGATACTGCCATGCATAAAATAATCCCTTCGTAAGCCACAGCATCGACGTCAATCTCCTTTGCCTCGAGAATAAATTTTGATATTACCACAGGATGCTCTTTACTAACTTCGCTCGCACTTTTTAAATAAGATTCAAGATCTTGATTCGAATAAGCGACATTCATTGCAGCACCACTTAGCACGTATGAAGGCCTTACAAGGCATGGATAACCGACTTCCTCGCAAAACTCAATCGCGGACTTCAAATTTGTCAGTTCCTTCCATCTAAAATAATATAAAATATCAATTATATATGTTGTAGGAATTATCAAAACAAATATTAAATAAAATTTGTACCTCGGCTGCGATATGCCGATACTATCAAGCATACGAGAGAATTTAAAACGATTTTCGGCACCATCAACTGATTCCGGGGAGGTTCCGAGAATTCGAGCTTGCTGTCTATGCAGATCCATAGCTATATTGTTAGGTAGTTGTCCACCCATAGAAAGTATTATACCTTCAGGACATTCACAGTCGTATATGTCCATCACAACCTCGAAGGAGATCTCCTCGAAATACAATCTATCACTCATATCATAGTCTGTACTAACTGTTTCTGGATTGTAATTCACCATTATGGTCTTACGTTCAAGATTTCGCAATTCACGCAGACAACTCACGGCACACCAATCAAATTCTACTGAGCTACCGATTCTGTACACTCCAGAACCTAAAACAAAGTATTAAATTTTTTTATTAAACAACGATTGACAGGATCTAACATTTTCAAACTAAACACATTGAAATCAGCGCCTTATAGGTCACAGTAAGATGTTGAACTACTGATTTAATATACATTCAATAAAATTGAAAGTATATAATTAATTTTTCAGACATAAATTGAGAGCCGATGAAATTATCGGATTCACACAATAAATCTGAAATTAATAAATCCCCCCAAATTCTTCCCAATCTTAAAAACTGTAATAATTTTATTGCGAAAAAATTTTTTATTTAATATTTTCTCTGTCTTTTTTATTCAATAATTATATGTTGTTTACGTTTATCTTTAAATTATGTTTATATATCTAATTTCTTTATTTATATTGCTAATCTCTTATTAGCAAAATATATTTTTTATTATATTTCTTGTGAATCAAGTTTTTTGAATAAAAGTAGAATTTTGCTGTTTATAATCATATCATTAGACGATTCTTTATTAGTATTATTTTTTATAACTATTTAGTTTTATTACTAAAAAAGATTTTGCGATTGATTATTTATGTAACACTGTACCTATCACCATTGTGTAACCACCAGGGAACTGTACGTCGTGAGTAGTACCGTTGTACGTTAAATAAAGATAATTAGTACTGGCCGGCCATTCAGCGGCCACTGTGTCAATTTGTTTGACCATCGGTCGGATTTTATGTTCTTGTCTCTGTATTCTGACAGCCAATTCGGAGCTTTTTACTATGGCGGCAATCTGTTTGTCCGAGAAACCAATTTGCTTTGCGCCTAATAGTAAATCGCGTGTGAGTTTTGTATGATCGGTATTCTCCAGGAGTACATGATAATCGATGATGTTCTTCATCTTCTCGAGGAACCAGCGATCTATCTTGGTGAGTTTATATAATCGGTCGATCGAATAACCGGCTTTGATCGAAGCTGCGAGAACAAACATTCTCTTATCTGTTGGCTTCTCCAGTTCTTCATCATTTATCGGCTTCACATAAGGATCAAAGCCATTTACATTTTCATTGACCATTCTCAATGCCTTCTGGAAGGCTTCCTCGAATTTACGACCGATTGCCATCACTTCACCTACACTCTTCATGGAACTACCAATCTTGAAAAATGTCCAAAATCACAGTTATAACAAAAATAATATATATTATAATATAAACTACGTTAATATAAACTACGTTGAAATAAAGAGAATTCTTGTAAATATTGACTTACATTATCAATAAAAATTATGTAATTTTTTTTTTATTAATTACTTTTCATCTTATTTATAGTCTAGTATATTCTTAATATACTATTTTATATAACTTAAAAAAATATTTAATATGGATAAAAATAAAATAATATACATAAATAAAGTATCTTGTGAGACAATGCGAGGCTAGATGATGAGAATAATTTATTCGTAGTCAGAAATCTTAAGTTTGATTCCCATCCGTTATTCTATGTATGTCTCGGTTTTGGACTTTTTTAAAGAGAATAATTAGAAAATTAAAAGTTTGTGTTCACAATTTTAATATTTAATTTACACTAATTTCTTCTACTCACATTTTATTTACACATTTAATTTCTGATCAACGTTTAATCAAAATAGTTCAAGAATCAAACAAATTAATAAAGCGAATTAGGAAATTATTCAATAGATACCTTCGTGCTGACGCGATGAAATTTGCTAAGATCCCATCTGGGTATTTTAACGACACAATAATCAAGACTCGGTTCAAAACAGGCTGTCGTCTCTTTGGTAACAGAATTACAAATATCCGGCAGGGGTATTCCAAGAGCTAATTTAGCGGCGACATAAGCCAAAGGGTAACCCGTAGCCTTGCTGGCTAAAGCCGAGCTTCTGGACAATCTAGCATTCACCTCGATGATGTAATATTCTTCGGAGAATGGATTAAGAGCATACTGGATGTTACATTCTCCAACAATGCCGAAGTGTCTAATGACTTTAATGGCCGTAGTTCGCAGCTTGTTGTAATCTTTATTCGACAGGGTCTGGCTCGGCGCGACGACGATGGACTCGCCGGTATGTATGCCGAGTGGATCGACGTTTTCCATATTACACACCGTGATGCAATTATCGTATGCATCGCGGACAACCTCGTACTCCACTTCTTTCCAGCCCTTCAGGGATTTGTCGATTATTAATTGACTGGAATGCGCCAGAGCTTGTTGCGCTAGTGTCCTTAGCTCTTCTCTCGTATTAGCAAAGCCTGAGCCAAGACCACCGAGCGAAAAAGCAGCGCGCGCCATTACGGGATAACCCAGTTTTTCAGCAGCTTCTAGTGCCTGTTTGGAAAGAAATTATATAAGAATGTCTCTTGTAACTGATAATACAATCGGAAAGAAAATGATTGTACATGAAAAATAAATCGGAAACGTAGAAATATAATTCTTTTTAATACAAAGTTTTATTTTTAGAAAAATCAACTTTAAATCATTGCCAAATGCATGTGCATATAACTATTTGTTTTGATTTAAGAAGTATGTATTCAATACAATGGGCATTTTCAATAATGCATAAAGCAATAAAATTCATCATTAGTAAATATTTTATTTTATTATGTATATACACAATTGTATTATCCAATACAATAAACACAACATAAAAAGAGATTATAATTTATAGGAAGATCCATTAAGTCAAGATATATAGTTAAGCACATACACATGTACCTAACAAATATTTGAAGTCAATTTTTCCGAAAACACACACACACAAAGCCTTATATAAAAAAATTTTATTCCACGTTTCTCATTTATATGCTTGTGTAAAATCACCCCTTTTTTGACTGTATCACTAATTCTTTATAAAAAAATAAGTCAAAAACATATAGAAAAGAATTTTGTATCCTAGTAATTTTAAGTAGTCATTTACCTCTTGAACCGAATATACGGCAGCGCTCGGCGCGACTTTTTCATTTATTTCGCTGACACGATCCGCGAAAATCTTTCTATCTTCGGTTTGTATAATGGATTCAATTGGTGTACCTAGAATTTTGACATTATAATTGGCGAACACGCCGTTTTTCTCAAGTTCCAGGCCACAATTTAAAGCGGTTTGTCCGCCAAATGTTAATAATACACCGTCCGGTCTCTCGGATCGTATCACCTAAAATAGATTAATGACAAATTATTGTCAGATTATTAACAATTAATATTCTTATTTTAATTTTAAATAAAATTTTAGATTAATAAAATTTAATATTTATAACTTTATCAAAGTTTACATAAAATAGAAAGATTGACGTTAATAATGTTTAACGATATATTGATGCATTATTTGTATTACAATTATTAACGATAAATTGTTAATTTAAAAAATTTATTATTTAAACTTTAAGTGCAGCCAAGCTTACCTGTTCTACGTACTCCGGTATAATCGGTAAGAAATATACTTTGTCGGCCATGCCTTTTGACGTTTGCACCGTAGCAATATTAGGATTTATCAAGAGAGTCTGTATTGACTCTTCTTTTAGCGCTTTAATTGCTTGCGAACCTGAGTAATCGAATTCTCCAGCTTGGCCAATGCTGAGACCTCCCGAGCCCAGAATTAAAACCTTTTTCGGATGTTCGGTCATGATCGGAAACAAAGGTGTGTAGATCAGACTTGTATGGAGTCTATCCTTTACAGAAAGGTATGGAGGATTATAGATCTGGTCTTTCACGCTTTCCAGAAATACATCGAAGAGACATTCGAGGTCCTCAGGTCCTGCTGTGTGCTCCGGATGAAATTGAACGGAAAAATAGGGTAAGACTGAGTGGACTATACCTTCGTTACTACTATCATTGGCATTGGTAAAGAGTACTTCCCAATCAGATGGCAATTGAGTAGCATCGACGCAAAATCCATGATTTTGCGAGGTCATGTAGCAACGTCCGGTGATACTATGCGTCGCCGGTTGATTATGACCTCGATTGCCGTACCTGGAAAGTAAGTGACAGGCATCATTTGTAAGCGGTTATTACACTTCGACTATTACAGTCGGCTATTACACTTCATATTACATAAGACTATTACGCATGACGGAACAATAATTTGTTGAACGATATAAAAACGAGTGACATAGAGATAAAAAACATTGGAATTAGAACATCTGGGGCAAAAACTGTGATCTAGAAGTCTTATCTGTTTTGTTTTCCGAGCAGTATAAGACAGTATTGACATATTTATATGGTAATTATGGTAATTTATATGATACACACGTACTGCATTTTATATGTAACACAACCAGCGGCTATAGATAATAGTTGATGTCCAAGACATATACCGAAGATAGGTCTTTTTTGTTTGAATACTTCTCGAATATTTTCTATGATCACTTGGCACATGCTAGGATCACCCGGTCCATTGCTGAGGAATAAACCATCGTATTTGGCAGTCTTAATATCGTAATTCCATGGCACAATATCCACGCGAGCACCACGTTTTAATAGACATCTCAATTGGTTGTACTTTAAACCACAGTCAACTACACATATACAAGGGTGTCCGTCCGGATTATACGTTTTTGGGTTTGGCTGGAAAAAAAAATCAGATATGTATACACTCTGAGAAAATTTTCTGAGTAACAGTAAATAAATCGAAAAATTCTAATCATATCAATAAGAAATAAAATTGAAGTATTACGCAAGATTTTTGTATAATAAAGTACATTTATAAAAAGAAATATTACTTTATTATAAAATGAGCTTATATATAAAAAGAAGCAAATTACTTTACCTGAGAAACTTCCTCAACAAGATTTCTCTTGTTAGGATCTTCTATTGGAGGCATTATTGGCAGAGTATGTGACGGTTGACCCATAATTATCCTGCCCAATATAGTACCTTTTTCCGTAATTATTTTTGTCAGTGCTCGTGTGTCAATCTCGCATATACCAGGTACATTTTGCTCCTTCATCCAATTGGATAGCGTCTTAGTTTGTCGCCAGTGGCTGGGCTTCTCGCAAATTTCTCCAACCACGAGTCCAGCAGTCCATATACGATGGGATTCGAACCAGCTGTATCAAAATTGATATTTTAACCATCAATGATAAACGATATTTTCAATATATTGTATTTACACAGATTTCTTAATT